CGCGTGGCGACCGCCCCCGATCCCGTGACGCCAGCATCGCCAGCACCGGGCACTCTAGACCCTTCCCATGGGGGGGGAGAGGGGGCGGGTGTCTCCTGGCAGCCCCAGGTTTCTTCCAAAAGTTGCCTGGGAGCAGAAGGGGCACCATGAAGCAAGGCAAGGAGATGTCAGGCAGCAGAGGCAGGCGGGAACCCGCTTCCTCCCTGCCCTGTCTGGTTCCAGCTGCCAGTGCTTGGTTGTGCCACCATGTGTCCCCCCGCCGGGGCCACCGAGGTGGTGGCTCCCTTTGTGACAGCCAGGTATGCTACAGGCAACGGCTTCCAGGGCTGAGCATTCCCGTCTGGGAACTGCCCTGGGAATGCCGCTGAGCCCCATGAGGCACTGGCTGCTGCTGCTCGCTGCGCTGGTGGGAGCCGTGCTCCCACTGCCCCTGCACAAGAGGTGATCCCACTTTCCTCATCTCTGCACCTCCCTCCTCCTCCCTGCCTGGCCATGGCAGTGCCTGCAGGGGCACTCGCAGGGCTGTCCCTTCTCCCAGCTCTAGCTCATGTGCATCCTCTCCTTCTCAGCTCCTTAGAGCAACCTCTGCAGCGCGGGAAGCAGGCCAGGCCTGAGGAGAGGTGAGGGACTGGCAGTGAGTGGGGTGTGGGAGCTCAAGGCGGCAGCCCTAGTGCCTGTGTGTGGGGTACCCCAGGTGAGCCCTGGAGGGCCTCAGCTCACACCTACCTTGGGATTTCCTCTGCAGGGTTGACTACTCGGTCCATGACGATTTACAAGCCCCGCTGCGGCTCCCACGGCCGCACTTTGGCCTGGTGGATGGTATGGCTTGCTCCTTGCCCTGGTCCCCATGACACCTCGTGGAGGGAGGGCAGAGCTGGCTCCCCACAGACCTACTGACCAGGTCTCGGCTCCTTAGCATGCGCAGGCTGAGCCATGGGTCGTGAGGGCAGCCTCTTGCTGTGGTTGGGGACGGGCTCTGCCCCTGGTACCCGCCACAGCCAGGAGCGCTACCTGAGCCCACTCTCAGCAACAGCAGGGGCCGAGATCTGCACGTCCCCTGCAGCAGCCTGGCCTGCTAGCAGCCACTGCTGAGGGGAAGGCGAGGGAGGAGAAGCAGCTTGGCCAGTTCCCTCGGTGGGGGGGACACAGCCTGCTCCCTTGACTGTGAGCTGCAGCCAGGGGAAGGCAGGGAAATGGGCAGCCGCCGGGGCTTTAGCGGCACCGCTCACTCTGCTCTCTCCCCACCAGATTATGGCATTAGACCAAAGCAGCCCCACTTCAGGAGCCAGGCAACGCAGGCACAACCTGCATGGCTGCGCCGCGCTGGCAAAAGCAAGCGCGACCAACTCGACCTGTCGGAGTACTACTACGACAACCGCCTGTGAGCCGGCAGGACCGTGTGCCCCCCCACCCCCCGTCCCCGCTCCTGCCGCCCTGCGCTCCACAGGGACAGCAGGGCACACGGGCAAGAGCGGGCTGCCGGGGGCCTGCGCCGCTGAGCCCCGTCTCCGGGGCTGGAGAGGGAGCGACGCAGGGGAAAAAGCAGCCATTGCCTTGCACTGAAGCCAGCAGAGCACTTTTGACAACAAAATGCTCTCAGTGTACCAGGCTGTGACAATAAAAATCCACCCCGTGAATCAAGGGACGTGTCCACTCCTGTTTGTACACCCATTGGGAGTCTGAGCTCAGTGCCCAGTTTGGGGCACCTGGGACAGGAAAAAACTGGAACGAGAGCAGTGGAGGGGTCCATGGGGCTGATCAGGGGACAGAATGCCTGAGGTATGAGAAGAGGCTGAAGGATTTGGGTTTGCTCAGCCTTAAGAAGGGCAGGCTAAGAGGGGATACATTGCTGTCCTCACCTACCTAACTGCACCAGAGTACAGAGTGAGACTCTTCTTGGCAAGGCACAGGGAAAGGGCAAGAGGCAAATGACACATGTTGCAACAGTGGCTGTTCTGGTTAGATATAAGGAAAAAGTATTTGCTGTGATCACAGCTAGGCACTGGAATATTCGTCCAGAAAAGATGTTGGCCTTGCAGATTTAAAATATGGCTGAATAAGGCCTTGAGCATCCTGCTATAAGTTTGTGGTTGCCTCCCCCTCCACTTTGAGGACCTCCAGAGGTCCCTTCCAGCTAAAGTTACACCACAATTTTATGACAATCTCCTGGCTTCAGGGCCTGAAAAAGGCCTTTCAGAGTAAACCCAAGAAGTGCCAGAGCCTTCTGAGCTCCCAATGGAGGGAATGAGCCAAACCCAGTGCTGTAGGGCATAAACAGCACAGCAGCACTGCTCCATGAACCATCATATTTAATAGTTGTTGCCATCACAGCAGATCCAGCTGAAGCACAGAGACCGCTGGCTACAGGGACCAGGAGAGCCTTTCGGTCTCTCTGGGGATTTGCATGGCTCCCTGCAGACTTTAGCCCTTCCCTGCTCCACCCGTGGAGAGACACCCCCTTCCGCACCATGGTGTCCATGGGCCCAGCGTGGGGGGGTGGCTCAGCCCAGCCCTTGCCTCTGCAGCTGGAGCAGGGAGAGGGAGAGAGGGCAGAGAAATGAGTCCCCTTCCAGTGTTGGCGGCTACGATGGCGAGACACAAGCGGGAATCTTTCTCTCCCCAGGCCGCAGTTAAAAGATGGGAGATGTGGGGATGGGAGCAGAGGCAGGCGTGAACTGGCCCAGCTCGTCCCTTCTCATGCACCTTCCGTGACAGGAAGTACTCCAGGATTCCCTCTGTCATCTCTGCCCAGCAGCCTTATCCCCAGGACTTGGAAGGGAGGCGATGTCCCCTGGGGGGTGAGCCCATCTCCCAGGGAGGAGCCATCACATGGTTCTCATTTGCTGTGTCTTCATACCGCAAGAGTCCGACTCTGCCACTGCATTAAAAGTCACCCCACATGGATGTGACGGGAAGCTGGGCCAGGGTCACAAGCGGGGGGATGCTGTCACCCCCGCCTGCGCTAGGAAAGGGCTGAGCATGCTGCTGCTCACCCCTCCAGCACTCGTAGGCAGGGCACCCTGCGAATGCTTCGCCAATAGAATAAACTAAGAGTATTTTGTACAATAAACACAATTTGTCCAGCCCTCCCTCCCTCCCATCCACCCCAGCCCGAGGAAGGGGAGTCATGAAAAGGGGCAGTGCTCTGTGCCCCTGGGGAGCTGTGCTCAGAGCCCACTCCTCTTCCAGTCTCAAAGCAGCTCTTGTCCATGCACGACGGGGAAGGGGCGAGTTTGCAGCCCTGGCTGTACAGGAGGTGCCTGTGCCAGCCCCTACTCCAGGTAGATGTCCTCTGTGGGGCACGTGTACTCCACATACTCCTTGTAGAATTGCTGGAAAGCCCTCCTGCAACACAGCACGAGCAAAGCTGAGCAGTTCCCTCCCCTCGGGGCAGCAGCAAAACCTATTTCCACTGCTACATTTGCCTTCCTGCCCTTGCCCACCACCCAGCTGTGAGGTTGGAGCAGGCACCCACTGCCCAAGTCCCCAAACCCACACATGTTAGCACTCAGAGGCATCACAGTAGCCAAAGAATCTCTATCCCTGCTCTGATCCTCTGCACAGCGTGTGATTTGCAGCCATCTGCCAGCAAATCTTTGCACTGGGACACGTTCCAGTGCTGTCAGGAATGTGCTGCCTGTCACCCTGTCAGCCTCGCTTTAGGGAAGCAATGCTATCTTGGAGCTGGGTCAAAGCCCCACACATATAGGGAGATGGCAGAATCCAACCTGGGGCCCTAATTCAGTGGCCTTTGGGAAGAATCCTCCCGCCCTTCAGAAGTAAACGCCTTCCTCCCAGCCTGGCCAGGACTCACCCTACGGACTCAGCGAGGGGTTTTGTGGACTCCTCCGAGACAAACACATGGCAGGCAAATCTGTGGTCAGCAGGGTGCTTGGTGATGAACCCAAAATACCTGAAAGAAGAGAGAATGGGTGAGGTGGGACTGGCATACGTACTCCAAGAGTCACCCTGGGCACTCGTGTGAATCAGCTGCTGGGGGATTTAGAACCCACCTCCTCTCCTACATCCCAGCACTGGAAAGGAGCCCCCTCCAAAGGTGTGTCCTTGCAGGAAGCTGATGCGCAGGATGTACAGGGGAAGGGGAGCTCTCATGAAAGGCACTGGTAAGCCTTGCTTTCCCTTCCCTTCCCTTCCGCATGCAGGACTGTGCCAAGCTACTGCGCTGAGAAACTGGTACTGAGGGAAGCCTGCACCTCTTTACTACTCACTTGTTGTTCTTTGGATGGTATCCACAAAAGGAAATGTTCTTCAGCTGGAAAAAATGGCTACATTTGTTTACCTGGGGGGGAGAAAAAAAAAAAAGGCGTGTCAATGCTGCCCTGCCCACAGCAGCCCCACGACACGCGTGGTGGCCAGTCTGACCCCTGAAAGGCACACGCTCAGCTCTGGCAGCAGAAGGAATCGAGGCTGTGCTGAGCTGCTCCCATCTCTGTGTCACCCAACAGGGCTAGCATGAGAGCACAGGCTCTGCAGAGGGATGGAGGAAGAGGGAGGTGAGAACACCAGGATGAAGAGTCATTTCAGGGACAGCCCCAAGTACCTGCACACACTCTATTAGTCAGCCCTGATGCCTCCTACCCCCACTGCCTCTACCTCCAGCAGCTCCTCTGGCATTTCCCTGGGGGCCCTGTGTTGGGCTGTGCTCAGCTTAGAGGCAGTGCTACTGTTTGCCCAGCACACACACAATCCTAGTCTCTTGCTAAAGATACTCATAAATACCAGTAGGTAAAAGATGAATGAGTAGTTTAGTTGGGTAAGTAAATCATCCAATCCTTGGTGTTTGAAGGGTCTCACATCAAGTTGATGACATTCCTTTAAATACAGGCAAGATTTGTAAAAAAATACCCAGCCCAGCTCTCTCTCACAGTACCTATCACCACAAACCACATCTACATCCTTGTCTGGAGAAGAGGGTTCCAAACAGGTTGCTGTAAAGGTCTCATTTGCGTCTGCAGAGCATCTTGCTGGGCCTTGGTAGGCTACTTACGGAGAACGCTAATCAGCAGCCTACAGTATCCAGCTAAAGAGATTACAGGGCAGATCTGGAGGACACCGCTGAAAATAGCAGCAGGAAGGTTTAGGAGCAGCTCACAGATTATCAGTGCAGCTCAACTCACAGCATCCCAGTACAGCAATGCACTTGGCAGCTGCATGGGTCTGGGGTGGGCATCAAGCTGCAGTAGGAGCTAAACTTGGGATGCCGTGAGATATGGGGGACCCTGAGGCTGGGCCTACAACCCCTCAGACAACATTTCTCATCAGAGCAAGCACCATATGGGCTCAAAACCCATGATTTTCATATGTGACCATGATCTGCGGCACAAGATACAAAAGCCAGCTCAGAAGAACCACTGGGGAAGGGGTGTGATGAGTGCAGGGAGTGTGGCCCCACCTTGCTGTTCTCCTTGGAGTCGTCGGATTTCACGGCAATCTTGACCCCGCGCACGCTAATCTCTAGGACACAGCTGGAGGGTGGGTTAAAGTGCACAGTGAGGCGGCGCGTGGTGGCAATCTTGGGAAGAGAGAGAGACAACACTCTGACACTTGCAGGCAGCACGTGGTGATAGCTCGCCCTTCCCCGCGGAGGCTCTGCCTTTCTCCCCCACTTTCCCCTTCATGCTACCAGGAGGAGTGACTGCTCCCACTCCCTGCCAGGGGGCTCTACCTTCTGCATGGCTGCGCATAGCACATCGTTGCCTTTGTGATAGGGAACTTGCACGGAGCCGAGGAACTTCACCCGAAACTGGTCCATCCAGTCACTACTCTTGGCCAGAGCTGGAAGACAGAACATGTGTCATGCAGTATGCAAGAAGAGACACATATGACACATGCCTTGGGCACATGCCCATGGCTGATAGTCAAACGTGCGGAGCAAGACACACATCCCTTCCCTATTTTTTCCCACACCTGCACACGTTTCCCTGTCCAGGTGAAAGTGCCCAGCACCATAGGCAGGAGCTGCCTGGGCTACCATCATTCCCTCCTGATGCTCAACACATTCCTCCTTCCCTTCCCCTCCTTGGTGCCTTTCCGCAGTACCCCAGCACAGCACCAGCCTCCATTCAGCAAAGGGATGTCTACAGGCTGTATGTGGAGAGGACTGGTACCTGTTGCATGGTCTGAGTCCTTGGTGACTTCAATAGCATAGTAAGCAGGAAAGATGCCCCGGTCTCCCGTCCGCATGTTGTAGGCCTCATACCAGTAATCTTCTGCCTGCACCTCCACCAGCAAAGGATCATCCACCTCCAGCTCCAGCTCATCCGCATGGCGAGGCACAAACCTGGGCAGGGAGGGACTAGTGATTGGCCAGCCAGCAGCTCTGGTAGCCTCATCACTGTGACACTGCTATGGTGGAGAGCAATGA